ACAGCGCGGCACCATGACGCGCCAACTCCAGGGCCTCAAATGGGCTCTGGAAGACCACAATTGCGACGTCGTCCGGAATATCCTTCTTCGCTACGTACCTCCGCTCCGTGCCAAGATGTGCCACGAATTGCATGAGATGGTGAGTGATGGTCCTGCATTGAGACCTTTTTCCCCCCTTGACTTCCCCCCTTCCCCCCGCCCCCCGCTCAGGCTCTGTGTTTATGATTTCCCCCTCCGCCCCCCCCCCGCCCCCTCACCCTATTTTGGTCCGGTGACAATGGCTGAAAGGGATGCTCCATTCTCGTCAACGTCGTGCGAGACTCAGATTTGATTAGATGTCTCATTGAAACTGCAAAGGTCGATGTGAACCACATCCTCGAGGTACGGACATTTCCAAACTGCTTTTATGACTAAACTCGTCATGTTTGCTGCCCCCCTCCCAACTTGGTATTCACCCCTACCCGGCTTTTGCTGTCTTGATCGCGTTTTGATAGCAAGAGGCTTTATACATGGCGTGTGAGAATGCGCATTACGAAACAGCCAAGCTTCTGATCGAAGCGGGCGCCAACATTGAATACCATGTACGAACTGTCATCTCCCCTTCCTCACTTGTAGACACTACCACGCCATCCTTTCTCATTCGTGGGGCGTGGCGTGATAGCGCACTTGCGGTCATCCGCAGCTCAGCGTGCTGGGTGCAGCCATTGTCGGGGGCCCGGACATGCTCAACCTCTTGTTAGAAGCTGGGGCCGACCCTAATCGTTTCTTCGACGTATGTCTCCTCGCACTGCCATGCATATACCTTCGTATCTATGACCCCCGGATTTTTTGGGGGGGCACTTCTGAACTCGCTTTGCCGATTTTTTTTTCTGTTTTGTTTATTGTCTCTTCGTTGATGGCTTTCGCAGGACCAGCATCTGCCACTGCAAGGTGTGGTAGGATCCAGCGTGGACATGACCGTTGCCCTGCTTCAACACAATGCAGACCCCAACAAAGCCGGCCGAGTGAGTGGGTGCATGTCGCAGACAACCTACCTCAACAATTTTTTTTTTTCTTAGCAACCCTCACATTGCACACGTGTGTGCACCTAGTCTGGCTCAACTGCCATGCACACCGCTGCCCGCTACGGACGCGTGGACGTGCTTGGTAAACTTATCGAGGCTGGTGGAGATGTCAATAAAGTCGACAAAGTACGACACAATGCTCGTCTTGAGTTCATTCCTCCGCTTCCTTCAATGCTTCAACTTTGACTGACTTATGTTTAATGATACAGGAAGGCTTTGGGCCCATCCATGTGTGTGCGATGTATGACCACGTTTTTACTTTGCGCTTCCTTCTGGACCATGGCGCTGATATCGAACGGAGCGTGACGGTGTGGCCCGCTCGCCCCTCCGGTTTCTACACCTGTATATTCTGCAAATGACGGCCCGTGAGACGTGTGTGCCTCACTCGAGCATCGATGTTTGGCTGTTAGAGTTCCCATGGCGGCGTGATGATGCAGGCGGCCACCAACGGCAGCATGGCCGTGCTACGCTACCTCGTCGAAGAGCTCGGAATGGACCCCTCGCGACGCTACACTGGCGTAAGGTCTTGCCGTAGGGTTCTGTGCGTGGGCACGGGTGGTTCTCGTTGGCACCTCATCTGGACACACGCTACTAGGCTGCCTTTCCGCTGTATGGTGCCGCCTATTGCAATCGGCACGCGGTGGTCGACTACCTCTTGAGCCGTGGGGTGGATGTGAATGCGCGAACTTCTGTGCGTGGCCTGCGTCTTGCCCCGTTGCTTCTGTCGCGTGGTCTGAGTTTCTCTCCCTCTCTCCCTCTCTCACTCCCTCTCTCACTCCCTCTCTCTCCCTCTATCTCTCCTTCGCAAACACACACACACACACACACACACACACACACACACACACACACACACACACACACACACACACACACACACACACACACACAACACACACACACACACACACACACACATCCATTTTTCAAGTTGTGGGCTCACTGGTTGCTGGTTGCTACCGAAAACCTCCTTCCATAGCTGGGCACCATTGCGTTGCATGGTGCCGCTCAGCAAAAGAATTTGGAAATGGTCATCCGTCTCCTCGATGCCGGCAGTGATGTCAATGCCGTTAACAATGTTCGTCTGCGCGTCCTCCAAGAGCTGTGTCACGCAATCCTTTGCAGATTTGTTCATGTCGTATCTCAAATCATGCGTGTGTTCGATGCATGGACTGCAGCAAAACGAAACATGCATGCACTTTGTGTGTCAGCACGGCTCATCCGTCCTTATTCGTACCCTGCTCGCCGCGGGTTTTACTGGCATCAACACTCAAAGCACGGTACGAACTCGGTGATCAGGCGCGAGAAGCGGAAGATATTTTTCATTGCTCCTCGCCTTGTGCTTACTTTGCTTGATGACCTTGTCGCATTGATGTTCAACGTATTGTCCCGATGGACGGTCGGTGCAGGCGGGGTTGACACCGCTTCACATTGCAGCATTTTGGGATGCCAATCAGATCGATTTACTGGTCGACCACGGCGCCGATATTTTCATTCGCACCGAGGTAGGACAGCGTGGCAAGTTTGTGGCAGTTTGCTTGAAATGATGCAACTGGCTCAGTCTTTCTCTTTTTCACCTTTGTGCTTCGGGCCACCACCCTAGCCTTTGGTGGGCTGCATTTTACAACGCATCAATGCACCGCAGTGGAAGCTCGACACGTACAATGTTCACAACCAACTCAAAAACTGCGAACCGGGCACCTTCCTTCTATGGCAGAGTGCCACGACGACCTCTCACCCCGATGCCATGCGACTGGTTCTCAGCTACGTGTACGTCCGTCCGTCCGTCTTCCTGTCGGTTTTGGAATGTTCATGAGCCTTTTCATCTTGACATCTTTTACCCTGATCTCGATTGCCGACATGGTTCTACGTTGCGGCGTCGCGTCATATCAACGCAGTCGCACACATGTACACAGCGCTGACCCCGCCGCATGTCTTTCTACTTGCCAATGTGTTGGATTTTAGTAACCCGGAAGGTGTTGTGATACACACCGAGCTGCGCGAAGAGCAGCAACACCTTTGCGTGGGCCAGCATTACTTTTACTCCACCATTTGGGTTTTGATTCAGGTCTGCTGGTTTTAGGTTCCTTTCTTTTCTCAACTTGCGCCATGGGTGCGTGCCCATTGGCGCAGTGCTGGTCCGCTGGCTGACTGCGCCTCTTGAACTTTGCGTAGGTCAATTGCGCTCAGCAGATTGAGTTGCCCATCTTCAAGCCCTGGACTGATCCACAGACGGGAGAAGCCGTACGTAGTCTCGGTATCTTGTTCGTATTCTTTGACGCTAGGTATCGCATTGACTTTTTCCACATTGTGTCTTGCGACGGCTGTATTGCACACGCAGCCCACCGTGCCGCCCCTCACAACTCGTGAGTTGGCACGCGTAATGCACGGCGCTTGCGATACAGCTCGTGTCCTGCAGCGACATGAGGTACGACTTGCGTCTCACCACGCGAGATGCAACAGTCTGGCGCTTGACTATCCATTGACATGCTTGCATGCTTGTCGGCGATGTGCAGGAACGCTTGCATCTGCCTGGTCGGCTTCTCATTGCTTGGGCAGTGGCCCATCGGCGTGAGGGCTGGCCAGCACCGGTCATTGAAGTTGTGGAACGTATTAGCTCTGCCAGCAATTTGGTGGAATTTTTGGCCGACGACGACGACGACGACTCGGATGAGCCAGACATTCCTTTTCGCCTTGTGTGAGCACTTGTTTCTCGCAAACAAATAACCCAAGATCTCAAAACGACTTGATTTGCCTACTGCCAGACCAAACGCCTCTGTGTCTGCATCGATATGTGCCTGAGATGTGAATAAATTGGCATTCCTGTAATTGAAGCGCGCACACGAGCGTTGCTCGAGCTTGAGCCTGAAGAACCAGACTCTGCACCAAGATCAAAACGAGACCCATACACGCTGTTTTGTCACACTGTGACGCCTCGGGACGAGGAAGGAAGAGCTCGTGACGAAACACACAGACACTCGAACACGCGCCGAAAACAAAAGTAAAAAAAAAAAAAAACAAGGAAAGAAACGTGGGGAGAAAACCTAAGCGGTTGATCACGACAAAACGGGCCCTGACTGGCAGGAAAAGGTGGCCGTGCTCAAGAGCACGTCTCACTGCACATGTTCGCCAAGACCCGGATTGGGGCGACCCAAGGGATCGCTGCCAGGACCTGACGATATCAACAAACTTGACGCGCACATAAATGATCACAGCCATACACAGGGGTAGCAGGGAAACGCTGTGGCAGCGGTTATGCCTAGCAAGCGCAAGAGTCGTCCGAGCTTTGAGCTTTGCTCTTGATGTTGATGTTGTCATCCAGTGCGCGTGGTGATGGGCTAATACCGGCAGCTGTGCGGCGGAGGATTTCCTGAACCAGCAAGCTGACAAATTAGCAAAGGAATAACGCGTGTGAGCTGAAGCAATCAATAGTATAGCATCGGTCGATTCATTCAAGGCCTTCGCCCTTCGCCGCTGCGCGCTTTTGACACGTACTCAAAGGCGGCATTGATCCCCGTGTCAGCCTTGGCTGAAACTTCGCGCCAAGCCAAAAACCCTGTCCACGAGCAAACCAGGGCGTGTTTTGGTTGGTTTTGATGAGTGCCTGGAAGTTTGTCACAGCACGCCTGTGCCTGAAGATCAGAAAGGCGGTTGAGTTGAACGCAGCGACAAACCGTATTCTTTTGCGACGCGCTCAATGTCCTCTGTAGACACCTTGCGCGCTTCCTTCATGTCACACTGCAAAAGTACCATCAATCGATCGCAGCCGTTGAGATTTGGGCAAACACTTTTGCATCTAAACAGGCATGCTTTGCTCGAGCCTGTGCTCACGGCAACTGATCTGTGCACCCACCTTGTTGACGAGGAGGATGGCCGGTAGGGGCCCGCCATCTGGATGTGTGACTTTGTCATCTAGCTCACGTTTCCATTGGCTCACATTCTACAGACCGAAACAAGAATCAGTAAGAACGCATGCAACAGAAGGGGGGCGTCGCGGGGTGGCATGCAAAGCAGACAAATGTAGCAGATTGGAGAGTGGCGGGAACACACATCAAGTGTCTGTTTGCGGGTAACGTCGCACACGACCATGCATGCATTGGCGTTTTTGTAGTACACGCGCAACAGCTGACCAAAGCGCTCCTGGCCTGTCAATTTCGAGTTAACTGTGAGGATACAGAACACCAGGAATGCACCAGGAGTGGGCATGCAGGCTCAGGCCAAGGAGCAAGAAATCAGGGCGCACCAGCAATGTCCCAGAGATGAAGTCGGATGGGTTGGCCGTCGGCCGCCGTCAGCGTTTTCAAGGCAAAATCAACTGAGCAGAAAAGCCAAGACGTTGCACGTGAATGATGGTTTAGGTCAACGAGACATCAAGGACCAGGGCGCGAGTCAAGGGCAAACGCACCGCCAAGGGTAGTGAGGTAGTTGGCCTCGAACTTTTTGGCCACGTAGCGAGCAATGAGAGACGACTTGCCAACGGCTGAATCACCAATGATGAGCACCTGCGCGGGCACACGAACACCGCAAACAAAAACAAAAAAAAGACGAAAACCAAAAAAAGAAAAACAAAGAGGAAGAAGCAGAGAAGGGTCATGAGCACGGTTGAATGGGCATCGGGCTGGCTGCGAGAGAGGGATGGCACAAGACTGTGGAGCAAAAGGGCAGGCAAGATTGCTTTCACAACATGCAGAGCAGGACCGCGCCATGCTTGTGCATGCAAAATCGGCAAGCAAGAAGCCAGTGCGACTTGGCGCCCAAAGTCAGGAGCAAAAAGGACAATGCGCAATCCAAATGCGTCATTGAGTGCAGACTTGGTGTGAGCGAAACGGGCTATGCCTACCTTCTGAGGCTCGTGCTCGCCCTTGCCGCCCGTCGCCATATTGTCTGCTCCTTCTGTCGTGGGCTTTGAATGCACGCTATCGCCACGGACCGAAACAAGCAGAAACCGTCAGCTGGCATGAGTCCCCATAACCACCATGTAATGTCCCCAAGGCTGCTTTGCGTCCGCACGACCGCTTCCCATGACCAGCTCTGCTCCAAGATCAGAGAACCAGGCCGAACAGTCCAGGAGAAGTAGCGTGCAAAGGAGCCCTTACTGCGACGTTGCAGTGGCGAGCATCCAGAGCTTTCATGCAACAACAATCACGCACCACAGAGGAATCAAAAGATCCGCTTGCGCTTGTACCGACAAAATAAAAACTTGACACCGGCACTGCAATTCAAACGTCCAAATGCAATCTGCACCGCGTCCCCAGTCTCGGCGCGCTGCCGTTTGCAACGCCCGCGACACCCGAAAAAAAAAATGAGAGAGAAAGAGAGAGAGAGAGAGAGAGAGAGAAAAGGAAACACTGGTCATGCAACAGCACTAAGCAACATGAGATTACAACAGCAACAGGTCACAACATTGGCAACTTGTGTGTGTGTGTGTGTGTGTGTGTGTGTGTGTGTGTGTGTGTGTGTGTGTGTGTGTTGCGACATCGGCGTCTCTTGTTTCTGGAGACAGCGGGCGAATGCAGTGAAATATGAAAAAAGGGGCGACCTCAATTTTTTTTTGTTTTTTGTTTTTTTGGCGGGACTGTGACTAAACAATGGCAATAAGGCGGGACGGGAGGCGGCGCATAACCAGTCCGTACAAGCTCGTGGCCAGGACAGCTGCGCCTACAAAGTAGACCAGTGGCCGATTCTGGGCTGAGATCGTGGCCAGTGGGTTTCGTAACGAGAAACTGCCCTGCGAAGCTGCGTTGCCCTCGAGCTCCTTCAACCTGCACGGCGTTCCCAGCAAAGGGGTGAGGACGCTCAGGGGTTTGAGCGGGAACGACGAGTGGAACCTGTTGAAACAAACCGTTTGCGATAGGCACGATCTGTATCGGCAAAGTATTCCTTGCTCATTCGGTCTTCAAACTGATCAACCGTCCACCAGCAGGTTTGACCAGATAAGAACAAAGAAAAGCAACCAGACTGCATGGTCGGACTAGCTCGAATACGAAGCCGTCATTGTACGTACCTTGATCAGATTGTCAAACAGCTCAACGGCCACCCGCAGAGGATGGATGGGCAATGGTGCACGACTACACACACACACACACACACACACACACACACACACACACACACACACACACACACACACACACACACACACACACACGTGCGCGCAAACCCATGTCATGAGCAGAGTCGGCGCGACGCATTGGCTCTCGCCCTACTATCAAGCACGGCTCGGCTCTGCCAACCAGTGCTGGAGGATGAAACAGTAGGCTCTGCAAGGCGCTAAGCCCTCCCTCCGCCACATACTTGATGATTGAAATATAGCCAAAGGCGATGGCGTCCAGCATGGAGGGACGTGTGCCCAAAAAGTAGGGCTGATCACCCAACAATTCGCTTAGTGACTGTAGGCATGCTGTCGCTGCCGCCAAGCGCTGTTCGGGAGTACAACACCAAGCACGTGGGCACGTATGGAGGGTCTGAGAAATGTATATACCAAGCAGACCAAGTCACGGCTCTTTCCATCCATTGACCTGAAACAATGTACCTGAGATTGCTGCTGCTCCTCGTCCAAATCTCCGCCAGAGATTAGAAGGTGCTGCACTTGCCGCCGCCACAAATGACTACTGTACGATTCCAAACGAAGAACATTGTTTTAAAAAATTAAAGTCAGCATGTCCAACGCGCCTTGAGCTACCTGAACAATCAGAGGAACGCGTGCTCAAACCTGAAAAAAACATCGGGGAGAGGCAAATCCCGAGAAACAGCGGTACGAGTGACGCGATTGAAGTTGTCCTTGTGCGCCCACAACGCGCCCATCTGTCCACATACAGAGATGGTGAGAAAGGGTGGGTGCAGCGATGAGACCACGTGCTCGTAAAAGAGGAAAGAAAAAATAGCCTAAATCGCACCAGAGCCGGGTAGAGGGCTTGGTGAATGTTTTGAGAAACCAAGGCCACCTTGGCTTGCTCCTCTTGACTCAAGTGGTGGTCCACATTAATGCCCTATCAAGTGGCAAGGCATGGTGACAGTGGGGTGAGCTTCTCGAAGAAGGGAGCGGGAGCCGAAACCCGCATGCTTTGCTGCAAGGGCTGGATGTGCAGCGTCGGTGTACCTGCTGGCGAAAAGTTTGAATAATGTCCTCAAAGTCGTTTACAATCTGGTTGTCCGGTAAGAGCAGGCGCGGGATGGCATCTGGCCACAGGAACAGGAACGTCGTAAGACCGAGGAGCCTGCTTCACTCCACCTTGTTCAAGCGCAGCGCAGGCGCTGGAAATCCAATACCACGCACCAATCTTGAATTCAGGAAGCTTTTCTTCCCCGGTGTCCAAGTGCCAGGTCGAGCAGTTGGCCGTCACCTCAACCTTATCGGGGTTTGCGCGCGCCAGTCGCAAGTACGTCTACGTCCGAGGGCATCAGTGCGTTGAGACCTTGCTGCGACCATCACATCGCTCTTTTTCTGAAAGCCCAACTGTGGAAGCGCCCAAGAAGACCACATACCACGGCTGCCAACGCCACCGGATGCAGCGATGCCAGGCCCCAATCGCCACTTTGTACGACAAGGACGGGTCGTGCCCGTGTCTCCGACTTTGCCTGCGTCGCCATCTTGAAAAAAAAAAAAAAAAAAAAAAAAACGAGAGCCAGAGACACAGAGAGAGAGAGAAAGACGAGTCAGAGATTGAGCCAAGACATGAACAGAAGCTCTGAGCTCATCGTACTCATTTCAATGAGCCTCAGAGAGTCGTCTGCTGGAGACACAAAACCCAGACCATAGGGAAAGGGCAAGGATAACAAGTGTGACGGATGTCACACTACCACAAGCGGGAGTTTTTTTTCGTTTTTTTTTTTTTTTTTTAAAAAAAACCATCAAATCAGTCGCAGACGTACGCCCGGCGGCCGTACCGACAGGCGGGACAAGACTGGGGATCGAGGAGGCGGTCTTTGAGAATCAAAAGGCGATAGCCTGGAGGATGGCAGGAACCCGTACACATGCTGCGGCAGAGGCGCGGCACCTTTTACGGCGGCTCAAATACCACGTGACACGCGGGCGCTGGCGGAGAGCTTCGCGCATCATCAGCGTCCTCCTTTACCGCCAAGGCGACTTTCTTGAACAAGTTGTCAATGTGAGTGACACTCGGCCTCTCCTTCTCCTCGCTTTCTCAGGCGTGTGATGCACGCTGCCACATAGGATATGTGTCATGAATCCTGCCTGTTTTGCGCATTCATCTCACCAGACAGGCTTGCAAGTCCTGCAACGAGCCGGTGATGACTACGGGCAGACCAAACGCTTCTACCAGATTGCTGCAGCCATTCTCAAGCCGCAGGTTTGTCGATTTAGCACCTGGCCACTGCGTCGAGTGGCATGCCCACCACTGCCCGACAAGCCTCAGTTGCCTTTCACTTGGCTCGCACACATCCATGGTCTGCCCCGGCTTGACCAGGGCCTCAAGCTGGAGCTGGAATTGGCCGTCTTTATGCTGCGACACGGTGACTTGGCCGAGGCTGTCAATGCCCTTGAACGGTGAGCCGCCATGATGGCCCGGCCCAATAGCTTGTGGCGCCCCGATACGACTGCCCTGACCGGGGCCATGTCAGAATCGCTCAACGTGATAGGGGCCGCATCTCTGCGGCCGCCGGCCTTTACGCCGCACTAGCCCTCCTCGTACAAGCTCGCCAACTGGCCGTGCCTGGTGCGTTTCAGCTGCCTTTGCATGGAGCCCATGCCATTGTTGGAGTCGCGGTGCATCACGCCTCATTTCCTGCGCAATTATGTAATAGTAACCACAATCCAACGTGCCGTGCATCTCCTGACCATCGTGGTCAATGGCCCCAACCCTCCGGCAATGGCCGTGCTTGCTCTCAATCAGGTCCGAGTTTGCTCTTGTGTTTTGGACTTGCACTCAATGCCGCTTGGCCACAAAATTGGCTCGCACCTCTGTCAGCCAAAATTCTCGTGATCGGCTGCCCACGCCACGCAACCATTTTCAGGTGTATATTGAAGCCGGTGATGCGAGTGCTGCCGCCACGGTCCTTACGCAGGCCATTGAACGTGATCCCACGTGTCCTCTTTATCACGAGTATGTTAAGAGACGTGTCTCAGCCAAACGCATCCCAAAGCCAACGCTCATCTCTGGCCTGCTGGACTGCAGCCCTTTATTTTTGGCGCAAAAACGACTGGGAACATCAGGCCTGCGCCTTTTGGTAGGAAAAGACGCTTTAATGCTGTTGCTGGACGTCCGAGTGTACAATCACCGGCTTGATACTGAGTGGCTTTTGCACTTGGATCCTGCAGCGATTGCTGGAACGACGTGCTGAAGTCAACCCGTCCTTGGCTTGCATTGCTGATATTCGCGACGCTTATGAGCAAGGTATTAGAAAAAATAAACTTGTTTCGTTTTCGAGCCAAGTGAACGGGAACATGACTTGAGCTTGTTCCGGTGGACTATGTTCTGTCGCCGCTTCTAATGGCTTTCCATACCTTTTGATTATTTTTGGCCTCGATTTGGTCTGGGCTGCAGTTAAGGCAGCCGACAACATGACACCCCGTGAGCGAACTGCAGCCAAAGTACGTCCAAACGTGGGCCTGGGCCATCCACTTCCGTTTCCCCCTTATGCAATGAGCTTTGGTGCACCCCCGTTAGCACATTGCCTTGAGAGGGATGGCTTCTGCTCTGGATTACTCAGCCATAGCCCGCCACCCGGCTGCATGGCATGCTTTTTGCACCTTGCTCAACGGAGATAAACGGTACGCCATCTGCCGTCATCGCCGTGGCTTTTGGCACGGGCTTGTCTCATGTGCAGTGCGGGAATAGCATGCTTCCTGGACGGCCCGAAGCACATGATGTGGACATGGGCGTGGAAGACTTGGAGGATGCGGACGGCATGAGTGACGAGGTGCCCTGGTGGCGTGAACGACTCGACTGGTGGCAAGACGTTTATTTTTCTGCGCGTCATCTACCAGGTGTGTCCAACGCATAAGCGCACTCGGTCCAACGACTTGTTTGCATTTGTTCCTTTCGGCAGCTTGGTGGTGTGTATGTGCGTGGCGCGCGCGGGTTGGGCGTGTGGCCAGAGGTGTTTTGCTAGCGCCCCAGGCAGACTTGACGTGATAGCTGCTCAAGCGTGTGGACTTTCACCAACTGTGCCGATGTATGCGCTGTTAGATCAACTCAGTGCGGCTCTGGTGGCCGTCTTGCCGGCACGGAGCATTCTGGTTCAGATGCTTGGGCCCACAACATTGAAAGAGGGAGAAGACTTTGTTGAACTAGTTGCCAGTGCAATGGTGGATCACCGGCACCGCGTTAGGACAAAGCTGGAAGCGTGCCACGCCTTGCTCGAGGCCCAGTCACCCTCGCAAGAACTGTGGCAAACGTACCTCACTCGCATGAGCGAGTGTTCCTGCGCCTGGCCGGCTAGCCAATACCTCGTACCTAGCCTCAGCCCAACGCCGCTGTCCAGGAACAACCGACCAGAGTCGGCTTCTGCAACCAACGCGTCATTGCTGACCGCATCGGCCGTGGCTGGTGTCAGCCAAGCTAGTCAGCTTGGTGGCTATTCCCTCTCGGTCGGGCCGACCCTCGACTTTGCAGACGACCCCATGAACCCCTTTGTGACCCCAAGCCGGCTACCCCAGTCGCAAAGGACTTTGCCACCCACCGATGAAGCTGAAAGTGAGGAGGATTGGACCAAGGCGCTGAGTAGCGACGAGGATTGAGAGTAACTTGCCCCTGCGCCCTCTGCTGAGCAGAGCACAAACCAGATCATATAGGAGTGACTTGATGATTGAGACATGAGAGAAAAAATCAATGACCTTGACTGATTGTGAAAAGACCAAAAAAAAAAAACTTGAAAAAGGAAAAAAAAAAAAAAAAAAAAAAAGTCCGTGACAGTTTGTCATTTTGCCATCCAGCCAATCTGGCGCGCAAGGAGGAGGAGGAGTGATTGAAGAGCGCGGCGCTAAAGGCTTGAAGCAAGATCTCAAGGGGTTCAACGATCTGAGAACGATGGCGCGCCCAACAAGTGAGTGATGGCTTTTGCTTTTTGCTTTTTTTTTTTTTTTTTTGTGCCGCGCTGAGCACCTTGGTCCAGTGGAAGGCAAACCTCACCATTGATATGAAAACCAAAAACCGTCAACGGCAGCCTTGTGGGCCCTTGCCCTGGTGGCCATGACGATGCTGGGTGGCCGTTCATGCGCCATGCAGGTTGGCCTTGTTACAAGCCATTGGGCATCTGGCTGTTGGTTGTGATGCATCGTACTTCTGATTGGATGGTGACGCTGCGGCGACGCTTGCTTGTGTATCTTTTAGCTGCGCGTGGATCCGGAAGTTCCCACTCGAGCCTATGGCAACGGCACCACATTTGACATTACCAACATCCTGCCATATCCGTACGTTGCGACAGGGCCTTGACTCGGACTGTGTCGCTTGCGCGCACGCAGTGATGTTTTGGCCGAGCCATTTTTTCCCAACAAGATTGCTGTGTGGTTCTGGCTATCCGCTTCTTCAAGCCGTGGCATCCATCGCTCAACGGGATCCTTGCCCACAGAGTCACAGTGCAAGGCCCGGGGTTTCCAAACAGCACCTATACCTACATCTTCGACCCCGTGCACGGTGTGCCATGCGGGGGCATGCCCAGCAACACTGCCGTGCGTAGTATTGGTCCAAGCTGTCCAGCACGCCCGATCGATGTCACACGGTTCAGATCGCTTCGTGATCGGAACTCATGCTGTGAGGCCTCCATCTTGCTTGTGCTCACGCCTTTGTTTGGACTTGTATCCGCTTGATCGCCCCGACGGTGTTTCAGGTATGTCAGCACGCCGATTTTCTGCGCAACTGTGGCTTGACCAACGGCACCATCTGGTCTCTGCACGGAATTTTCCAGCAACCCACGGTCTTCTCCGTGCTCTATGTGGATGGCTTCAACTGGCGGTACGTGAATCGCTAGCACAATGGGGTCGATTACCATGTGCGGGAGAATCATCCCTGGCTGTGGGAACTTGGTCGATCGCCGCTTGGTGCCTTGTCTGATAGAATGACAAACGTCACGTTCATCGAGGATGCCGCAGTCCATCCCCCGGTTGTGACGGTGTGTAATACAAAGACGACGGTGCCACAGCGATGTTGTGACGATGATGCAAACCCCTAGCAGCAACCTCAGTCGTCTTGCCTCTGCTTTCGTCTCACTGCCAGGTTGTGGGCGAAGCGCCCTACCTCGAGTATCAAATCCAAGTGCGCGGGCGCTGTGTGGGCCAGCCCTACTGCACCCCGTGATTGTAGCCGACGATACAGGCGTGCCTGCCTTCAGCTCTTGACACTTGACCAATGGTGTTGATACCCGCCAATTTCTGAAACAATTCGCCGTCCTTACAGCGCCTTCAATTTATACCATCAACCGATGTAGCAAGGTCTCGAGCACTTTGCCCATGCACACAGCAAGCCACCTTCCCTTTTTACTCCCCTTCAGCCCCACATCCATCCATCCATCCGTCCGTCCGTCCGTCCGTCCGTCCAGCCCATCGGCCCACTCGCGTCGTCAGCAGACTGTAGAGTTTTTCCGTTTTTTCATTTTTTTTTTTTCCGTTAAACGCCACATGATGTTACCACACACACACACACACACACACACACACACACACACACACACACACACACACACACACATGTTGTGCTTCTCTTGATCTCGCTTTTCATCTCTGTCTCTGTCTCTGTCTCTGTCAAACTCTCTCTGAAACTCTCTCTCTCTTCCTCTCTCTCTCTTCCTCCCTCTCTCTCTTCCTCTCCCTCTCCCAAACTCTCTCTCTCTCAAACTCTCTCTCTCTCAAACTCTCTCTCTCTCAAACTCTCTCTCTCAAACTCGCTCTCTCTCTCTCTTTTTTTTCTTCCTCTTCTGTGTTAACAGCTCGCGCTGCCGGAGGAACGGCGGCGGGACTTTGAGTATCGCGCGGCCTTGAAAGTGCGCCGCGAGTAAAATTGCTTTCCTCTAGCCGTGAGTGCTGAGCTGCATTCTCAATTTCGCACGCTTGAAGTGGCCGCCAGGACGATTGCTCACATTGTGCGCATGCCCAGATTTAGTTTGAAGATCACCCGAGCTCTCAGACCATGGCAGCAGCCTTGATCTTGCGCGCAGGTGCGTTCCTCGTCTCGTCTGGGTCTCCTGTGTTGGGGGGTTTGCTGCTCGGGAAGCATGTCTCATGGCTCACGCTCCGTGCTGGCTATGCAGGCGCCCCCGTGGCGAGCCGTCCGAGCGCTTGCGCGACTTTGGGCGGATCCAGCCGCTCGGTCGCACACGTGGCGACACGCATCGCGACCCGCTTTTGGCGGTAAGGCTGCAAACAAGCCTATAGCACAATAAAACTTTTGCACGCACCCTACCGGCTGCCCCTTGAGCGGACACGTGCCCCACTCACATGGTGTTCCCTGCACTACCGCAACAGGCCCTCCACCGTGCGGATGACCCTGCCGGGAAGCTGTGCTCACCTTCACCATTCCACTGAAACTTCAAGCCCCCATGAAGGGCCGGCCGTTCCCAGGAGCAAAACCAGCTGGAATCCCCTCACCAAGGACATCACCGCCGCGCCCGGCTTTAACCGGTGCGGCTCACTCACACCTCGGCTTGCCCCTATTGAGCCGATGGTTATGATGTTGTGCCTTGCCACCTGTTCGGACAAGTTCAACCAAAGCAAAGACACACGACACTGATCATCCCACTCACACAAAGGCATTTTGCGTTGATGCCTCACCCCTTTCCCATTGCCAATCTACTCTGTACAGCTGGCTCCTCGTGCTGCCCGCTGTTTCCACCCACATGTGCCTTGGTACGCCCCACCTGTTATTGGTGACCCACTTGTTATGAATGACTCGTCTTGATATACAAAAGAAGTTTCGTTTCTGCAGCAGGATGTGATTCATACTTTGTTCCGCCACCGCTCACTCTTCCTTTTTCATGTGCTATCGCCCTCACCCTACCATACCCCGATTCTACCCAGGTTCCGTCTACGCCTGGAGCCTCCTCAACACGGAACTCACACGCCAGCTCGGTGTCTTGGGCTCCTCTTGTGCGTTCCATCTGGAGACCAAATATGCCTCAAACGTGTCGTTCGATCCCGCTGTGCCCATTGCCCTGCGACTAACCCCCAGTCTCTTTGTTATTTTTGTTCTTTTTTCTTCTCGTTTTGCAGCTCAAGATTGGTCGTTGAGTGACGTTGTCCCCATCTTCTCCTCGCTCTTTGTGATGCATGGCCTCTCCGCGGCCATTCTGGGCAAGTGGCAAGAACGCGTCGGGCCCCGCGTTGCAGGTGCCATTGGTGCATGCCTCTTTGGTGGCGGATTTATCGTCGGCAGCGCCGGCCTCATGCTGCACTCCTTGCCCCTCATGTACCTGGGCTATGGCATGGGCAGTACGTTATTGCCAACCACTTCTGGCCTGAAGAAGCAGTGCTTCAGACCCTGCTTCAGCTCTTCTTCACCCACGTTCATGCACATACTCATAAAACCGCTCGTGTGACCTCCGTCTAGTTGGTTTGGGCATGGGCACCTCCTACGTGCCTCCGGTGGCGACCCTTCTCAAGTGGTTTCCGGATCGCCGTGGCTTTGCCACGGGTCTCACCATCATGGGCTTTGGTGGTGGCGCACTTGTCATGTCCCCCATCATGGTAAACAATGACCTCATCAGACGCTGCCAAAGCAGCCTCTTGCTCGCTCGTCCAGAGCGTGCGCGGTGTGCGCTTCTCCCACTGACGGTCGATGCTGCCGCGCCCGCTCTCGCAGCTGTCACTGATTTCTGGCTTTGCTCGCGCCCCAACGGCTGTGGACGCGGTACAACCTCATTTCCTCGTGATGTCTGGCTGCATCTGGTTTTGGAACCCTTTTCTTGTCTGACCGCAACACCGTCCTCGTTTGCCAAACCCCCGACGCAGACCCAGGTTATCGCGCGCGATGGCCGCTATTTTGTCGAGGGCAGCAGTGACACCCAAGAGGTGATCAAGGCCACCGCTGAGCAGCTTCTTCAATCGCCTTTTCCGAGCTTGCAAGAAGGTTGGCGCCCACCCAAGTCTTGTCTTTCGTTCTTTTGCTTGTGATGCTTTTCACTCGTCAGCGAGTCAATGACAAAGAATCGGCTCAACAAATGGTATGCAAACCTTAGGCTTCTTTTTGGTCGGCACGGGATCGACTGGTGTGCCTGAGGCGCTCACAGTTATGGGTCTGGGCTATCTGGCCATCTGTCTGGGCTCGGCTTTCTCGTTTCGCCTGCCCTCGGCCGACACCCTACGGGAACTGACTGAAAAGAGCCCGCAGTATGCCAAAAAGAAAGAACAAGAAGAAACCACGGGCGAGCGTACCATGCCAACCGTTCGCAATGTGCACGTGGATGATGTCATGCGCACTCCGCAGTTCTGGCAAATTTGGACTTCTTTTGGCTTGCTGGCCGCCACTGGTATGGCCTCACTCTCCATTGCCAGCACGATGCTTCTCGATATCTTTGGCAAGCAACTTCCAGACCTTGTCAACATGTGAGTCTCTCTCGATCACGGCGACTGTTCGTTAAGCAGCGCGCGCCTGGTACTCTTTCTTCTGCTGGTGAGCCTGATTCCAGCGCGTGTTCTCAGCCAAGCCCGTGACATTGCTAGTGCCTGCGCTTCTCGCTACGTCCTTGCCCTCTCTGCCGCCAACCTGGCTGGCCGTCTGGTTTGGGCCAGCGCCTCGGACTATGTTGGGTACGAGCTCGCCTGGTTCAAGTCTTCCGCGCGCACGCAGCCACAGCATCAAATGAGTTTCTCATCGCGCTGTGCCACCACAGTCGCAAGGCTATTTTTGGCCTTTACACGGGCGTATCCATCCCACTGTACGCCAGTCTTCCGTACATTATTCACCAAGCAACAGGTTCGCCATTCGCCATTGCCAGAGAACATGGGCATGAGCACTGATACAGCAGACTTGAACAACGAGTGACCTTTTTTTTCTTTTTTTTTTCCTTTTTTTTTTCCTTTTTTTTCCTTTTCTTTTTCTCGGCCCATTTTTCTTCTTTGCCTTTTCGGGGTGCCATATCTCACCTTGGGCCTCTGTTCTTGCCGCCCCTTTCATTTGCAGAGACACAAGACATTATGCCCCTAGCGAGCTTTGTAGCTGCCAACATCATGATTGTCAGCTTTTTCGGCGGTGCCTACAGGTGAGGATCGCTCGTCGCACCTTATTTGCTGGTCCAGCATCGTGGGATCCGCTGATCACATCGTCGCATGACCCAATCTATGCCCATACTAGCTCGACCCCGGCCTACGAAGCTGACATGTTTGGCAGTCGTTATGCCGGCGCGATTCATGGTCGCATGCTAACAGCTTCAGCTGCCGGTGGCTTCTTGGGCCCCATGTACATGACCAAACTGGTATGCCACAAGATCTTGACCTTACCACCTTGGGTTGTAAAGCCCGCGCCTGCTTGACGATGCTCAAAAAAACCACGTTTGCTGACTCAAGCATTTTTGTCTTCTAACCGATTGTTGTTGTAGCGCGAATGGTCAGAAGTGAGTGCCTTGCGTGATTTGGCCAGCAAAGCAGATATTGCGGCCTTTGAGTCACGCTTTGGTGTCTCCACGGAGCAAATCAACACGCTGATTGCCAAGAAAAGCGTGGATATTCAAACGTTGCTGGGCATGTGCCCCGCTGGCACCGCCGGTACGTTGAGAATCGTTCACAAAGTGCTGAATGGCCGTCCTGTCTGTTTGGAATCATAAAAGTATGCTCTTACGCCCTTTGCTTCTTTCTCTTAGATCCTACACCGTTTTTGTATGATACAGCCATGTACGCCTCAGCCGGCTTGCTGGGCGTGGCTGCTGTGGCCAACCTGACCATGCGCCCTGTGAAGGATGCCATGTTCATGAAGCCCGATGACCCTCGCGCATAAAAGCGAGAGCGCATGTCGAGTTGCGCTGATTGCGTTTCTGCGTGAAACCATCGCGCCCTGCTTGCTGTGCAAGCACTCTCTTCCCATCCCTTTTAGAGGGCACTTAGGGGTTTCTTGCCCATTTCGACCCAACCGTATCGGAATGACACGTGCTGTTTTTTTTATGATCCGATCCTTCTTTTATCTTCATCTTCTTGAGTTTGCACTTCCCGGCATC